ACTAGCCAGTCTAGCTAGTGGCATCACTGACTGGACCTGCTGAGAAGTGATTTATCTACCTTCAGCACCGCTTGCAGGCCAGACTTCAGAGAGATCCCTTTTGTACATCATCTTCACAAGAAAGAGGCCAATAACGAGGTTCATAGAAAAGGCTTTACCATAATCACAATACCCTAATTTGCAACAGCATCAAAGTTAAAGCACACAAAATACCCATCAGTGCTATTTACGAGATCAAGAGAATAAAACCTGAGACTGAATCACAGGAAAGCAATTAAAAATAATTAAATCTCAAAAAGAAATGGAAACCATGCTACAGATGGGAACTGCCTGCCAGGATTTGTTTAAATACAGCAAATAACATGTAGTTTACAGCAAGACCTCCCAAAAAACTTAATGGATACCACAACTCCTGGAACAATTAAAGCAACACTAGAAGTAGACAACTTGCTGGCCTCAGTTAGGACAGCAGTGCTATGGGGAGAAGCTTCATGGGAGCAGACTAGGGCACAAATGTCCATATCACAACATTTCTGCTCCAGCAGGAAAAGATGTATCTGTAGATGTCCAAAATTTCACAAATACATAAAGGGTATGGTTTAAAAAAATAAATAAATAGAGGTATGGCATTAAAATCAATATAAGTCCAGAAGGAAAAATATATATATTTTTTTAAGAAGGCTGAAAAAGAATGACATCTGGAGAGACGCAAACAGATAATTCCCCCAAACTTTTCAGTGTCTACCGGAAATAAAAGGAGATCAACGAGACAATGAATCCCTTATGACAATCAGTCCTTTAGGGGAATTTAGGAGATCTGTTTAACTTACAGAACAACCCAGTTTTCTTGGCTACCAAAGACTTTTGGGAAGAAGAAACAAAGCTGCCTCTAGAGTATGGATTACAGAAATGGAGAACATTGTCATTGCGACTCAAATACCTCAATAGTACTGAAAAAAAATACTCAGGAGACCTCTTGGAATGGTACACATAGGGAAAGATGGGCCATGTTCTTCCCCAGCAAGAATGATCAAAAATAGTTAGAGATCGTTTCCCTCATTCAAAATACCAGAAGCTGGAACCCAAGGAGCCTGATGATGATGCCCAATGCATCCAACAGAGCATAGCAGGAGTTGGCGGCTGCTCTTTCTTAACTCCGAGGAAACCATTACCCGCTGATAGCTGATTATTACAGCAATTTTTCAAACTCAGTCACACAACATGGGAGCCAGCAATAAAGCAAATCAGGCTGTGACAGAATCCCTCAAAGCTCCCAGGTTGTGAGGGGGAGAGGTGTACAACACGAGAACCTTCGGTCTTAAATAGATGTTCACGTCCATGTATCCCATTTAGTCTCTACAATTTGCTCAGAGCAAAATGTTTCTTGTTAATTGGCTGTGTGCTTTTTCCTAGATTCTGTGGTTAACAAAGCCTTGAGCTTAGGAAGCTCAATGGGAGTAGCAAGGCCCATGGAAGAGTCCAGCCCATGCACACATACTGCATTTGGCACCACTCAAGCCCAGGCTGCCTGACTGAGAAACCAACTTGCAAAATGCTTCTCTAACACCTCTACCAACACCTAAAACTAACACACGGTGGCTTGCTGAACTGAATGTAAGTGCAAAAAAATAAAAGGAAGGTGCTATTTGTCACTAGTCAGGACCTAGTCTGGGAATCCATCCCTGCTCAGTGGTTTTGTTGATTAAAAAGGCCTTAAAGAAGGGACAGCTGGCAGAGGAGATGCAACAGGACAAGTTCTTACTACAATCTGCCTTCAGACCAAACATCAGCAAGGCCTTGAGAGATGAGAGTTGGGCTGACTGTTCCTTACCATAACTTAGTTTCTTGGCTGTTTTGCCCAAATGAAAGCATTCTTTCAATATTTCTTAAGTCTGCAAGGAAAACAGCACAACTATTCCTATAAAGGTAGGAGCATGCATCACTCCTGAGTGCCTACTCTCCAACAATTGGTTTGCAGCTCGCACTATTCTCTACACTACTTTATTCATGGAAGAAAGACTCTTGGATGAAGCAAGTATCTCTCTGGCAGATGACTTGGAGAATGTGCATACCCCCAAGCCATTATGTGGCAGTGTTTGCTAGATTAGGAGTTTGCAATGAATTTATTTAAGGCAACACTACAAACATCTGAGGGGATTTGTACAGGATGGATATTTCAGACATGCACAAGCAGCTCTCCATACTGTTCTTGGCCCAGTGGACAGAAAGCTGAGAAAGATACAAACACAGTCAATCAGCTACTAATCAAAGCAAATGAAGATTGTCAAGACCTTCCCTCAGTTTACTAAACTGCTGAAAATAAGCAAAAGCTGTGAGTTATTTCTGATGCCAAGAGTTATTAATCAACATTTGTTCACTGGGAGAGGAGCTAGAAATTGTACTGTAACAAAAAGTGTCAAATCACTGAAAACTTCCACAAGAAACGTCAGTGATGACCTGTCTTTGCAGTAATTAAATCAGCAGGCCAACCTAATTTTTGTATACAGGGAATGGACACGCAGAGATAACAGCAGAGTCCGTGCTCTTATTTGTGCAAGATGCTGCCAGGAATGCTGAAACAGCAAATGCAGAGAACATGCGTGCAATGTTAGCAAGTCCCAGGAACCTCCTGCTTAGTATATAGAAGAGAAAATACCAATAGAGCTAACCCAAGCACAGCTGAGTTTTCATGCTTTGCTGTAGCTACAAGACCCAAAAACTATGCTTGTTTCAGATGAAAGAAGATTTATTATGGTACTTCTTGATAATACTTTAAAAAATACCTCCAAAATTCCTTTGTGTATGAGAATATGTGGCAAGACACAAGCAAGTATCCTGACGTATGGATTTTTAAAGCAAGGAAGAAAAAAGTAGAGCCCTCCTTAATATTTTTTTTTCATGTGACTTGAGCTGTTGCTGAGCAGAGTGCATTTGAAAAGTTTTGTTAATAAAAGGACTGTTTAGTTTAGTTCATCCCATATGGATCTCCATTCCTTCACACAGCTTAAACAAAGACAATAAAATCATGTTTACATTGGGATATTTGCTTCTTTTTCTCCTCAAGAGGTAATTTCTTTCATACTTCTGCTAAACACTGTTATATGTGCAAAGCTTAAGTACAGATTAAATTTCCAGCTGAAAATGTAACTTAAATGCAAACAGTACGTATCCAGGACTGAAGCAATCACTGAGAACAGTACGAATGTTCCTCTCAGTGTGGTGATCATTCCCACAGGAATGTTTTCTGGAAGAAAGCACATTGGATGCTCTGCTTGAATACTGGATGTCCCTGTGGCCAATTCTGGGTGGGAATTAAATAAATAAGATAAGCCCATGGTACCTCTTCACTTCTCTGAGAGGTTCCTGGTGTTGCTTTTTCATAAGGGGAAAGAACAGTGAGCATCAGGGCTTACATTGCCTTCGATATCAGGAGCTTTTCGAGTGGTACGTAGGATACATGCCCATGGCAGATGACAGGCAAAGAGGGTTTAGATAAGGAAAATTGTTGCTGCACTCTGGATCTCTGCTCACAGCACATCTGGAAGCAGACATGCTTTAGGTAGCCAGAGAGCCACGTGCTACCAGAGTAGCAGGGAAGGAGGAAGCTACAGCCGGATCTCAACAGAAAAATGAGAGCAAAGTTTTGGGTGCCAAGCTGTATATCAAAATAGCCCGCTTCATAGGAATCCCAGCAATACAAAATTGGAATGATCTCTAGTTGTTGCTGCAGCCTGGGCTTGGGAGCAAGATGTACCGTACCCAAAGAAAACGGGAACAACAAAACTCAGATCTGGAAATTCAAAGCCCATTTCAACCATGTCTTCTTCAGCTCTTGGAAAACAGCCTCAGTAAATCTCTCGTTGCATCATCATGACAATTTTCCCAGCTTGTTGGCTAAACAGGACCAGTACTAAATATAGGCCTGGTTGGCCTGCCAGCAGGAGCTTGCCAAACATGAAGGAGAGCAATTTGTCCTTCCTGAGAAGACACATGCCATCGTCAGGCATATGGTACCAAGCCAGAAACAATTCACCCAGAATGGCAAACTGCCCGCTACCTGCCTCAGCCTGCTCTATTCCCACACTGCCATGTTATCGTACCTATAACACAGAGAATAATCAGGAAATCTCAGATTTTTTTCCAGATAAGCATCATTCCTCCAAGAGAACTCATTGAAATGCAAAGTTAAAGAGAAATTTCTTAACACTTCATTTTAAAAAACATAGAGTAATCTGGTAAATTTTCACACCACGTTTAAGGTCCTAAACCCACAAATGAGAAGCTCCATCGCCAGTTACTTCTAACATATAAATTGGGATGCACTAACGTCTGTGACAAACAGATTGTCACAGCTGTCAGAGTGGGTCACAGAAAAATGAGCAGTATTTAAGAAGGAATTGGCTTCTACAAAGAACAGGCCTTCTAATAAATAACAAACTGTGGAAGACCCACTTAATGTAATGTGAAGGCTTACTTTGCTCAGGAAATGAGCTAATCACAGGAAAAGAAGCAACTTCTTCATGGATCCATGAGAAGATCATGGATTATATCCCCCCAAACTGAGCCAGACCAATCTAGTTACTAGTAGCTCAGGCATCAACAAGTTCCAAGAACAAACTTTAAAATGACACAAAAGTATGAGATATCCATGATTTTTTCAAGACGCTTGATCTTTCCCCCAGATAATTAATAAATTGTGGTCTTGCACAGTTTACAAAACAATTCTGAGAAATAAAATGTTAGACTTTGATCCAACAGCAAAAGCAGGTCAGACACAGAGACCCATGTGCACACATCTACTTACAACATCAAGATCTAGAAAAATAGAGGAAAGCACTGAGATCTGGAGAAGGTAATTACTTTGTAATTCCAAACACAGCAAATACTTTTGGAGATAATCAGAACTAAGGAAAGAAGTAGCATTGACTAAAGATGGGTCTCTAGACACATAAAGGGAAGACTCTGTATAGTTTATTATATAAGGAACAATAACAACTATGTTCAAAGAGACATTTATTTATTTTTTTCTCCCAGTGGAAAAGATAGAGGAGAAAGAGAATCAATTGCGTTGTAACAATAGAAAGGATTTCTGTATTGCCCATTAATTTCTCCATGAGAGAACCACCAAGATGTCCTAATGAAGGAATTTTGTGCTGGAGAAATTTTCCATTTCTAACCTTCAGCTAGGGAGTAACTTCCACAAACTACAGATAAGAAGGAAATTATGAAGTTACGTAAGTATTCATGAGATCGTTATCTCTCAGAGGGAAATTCAGAAATGTCACAAAAGGAGCAAAGGGCGATGGGACCAGCAATTCAAAAGATTAGGTGCCCTTTCAGAAGCTGAGAACTACACATTGCTACTGCATTAACTGTGATGTTTTGAAGGATTCAGATTTAGGGATCTTCTCCTCTTGAAAATGCATTTTGATACAAATGGCTTTGAAGCTGGTCATGTGTGGCAGAGTCCTCATGCAGGATCTGGGCATGCCATCTGGACAGTCCTTGAGTCTTGGAAGTGGGTCTGCCTCTTCTAGCAAACCTAAATTGAAAATCAGCACAGAGATGTTCAGCATCAGAGTTGGTGGGGCTCCAGGTTAGACAGGTCTGGAGGCAAAAAATGTTGAGGGATATTTTTTCCTTCACTTGGATCACTGAAAGAAGAGAGGGTTCTGCAGCTTATTTCAATATTCTTTAATCACTGTTGAGCTGTGAGTAATGTTCCTCTTTAAAACCTTCTTGACACGTACCCTGGTCCTTAGCTGAGTACTCTTTGTCTGGAAAGCAGCTATTAGGCACTTACCCTTATCTCAGGAGTCAGACAGTTGGCATGGTGCTGTCCTGATGTGTTCATTCTCTCTGGGTTTCATATGTACAAGCTGGATTGCTTGGAATAAAAGTAGGTTTTCTGTCCTGTGTCAGGACCCCTCTTTGCAATAGAAATAAAGACATTTCTGCCACATAATACATTCCTGCCATGTAGTACATTTTTTCAAGGATAAGGTCATCTTACTGTGCCAAGGAAACTCTTTTTAAGGTCACAGAATGAAGTCATTCCAAAAATCCACTGATTTTTATTTATGTTAACGCATAGCTTTCAAGCTTTCTGTCTAGCCTAAAGCATTGTTAATATTGACATGAATACAATTTTGGCTTCAAAACCCTTCTGCAGTCACTGTAGCTCATCTATATTAAATATAAAAACAAAAGAAAAAAACAACAATTTTTTAAGACAACATTGCAGTCTAAGCACTTAGCAGGATGTTCTCATCTGTTTTCAAAACATATCCAGTGGTTTTCAGACGTGGTCACTTCTCTAAAAATCACAGATTTTTACACTCCCGCTTGCCCTGTTCCAGCAGAATGATTAAGCTTTTCCATGTTTGAGCTGTTACCATTTTAGTCGTGGAACTCAGCCTCATTTTGCAATTGCTGTTGGGTGACTAATTTCTCCTCACCCTAGTAGTCCCATTGAGTTTCCATTTGAGCAAGAACTTGCAAGATCAGGACCTTTCACCCTCAGCACCGCCTCTTTTTGGGAGTGTAACTATTTTTATTCTCCAGCTTCCAGGCATAAGAATGTTGACATCTGAACTGAAGTATGCCAATGGTTGGGACACAAAAAGAAAACTAAAGCCATCAATTAAAATATGTCAAATTTTTTTGTAGAAGTCTTTTTCAAGACATCACCCTTCTAAACAAAGATTTGTTTATACAACAGAATAATTTTTAAAATGTTTATATGTTCTAAAGGTTAAAATAGCAAATGCTGCACTTTTAAAATGAAACAATGTTTAATGCTTTACTAAATCATGGATATTTAATAACAGTAGGTATTTATCTGCATCTGGAAGGAACAAGAAAAAAATAGTAGAGACTCACAGAGAAGAGTCTCATTTCTGGAAGTGCACACCAGATTTGCAGATGGGCCTGGTCTGGACCACCTAGGACAGGTAAGGAGAGCGGTACAATCCCAGATCCTTCCCTCCCACCTGCAGCTGCAGTCATGACCGGGCTTCTCCAGGTATCCTAATCCATGGAAAACTGATTCCTTGGAGAGGCCCATAAAACCAGGCTAGCACTTTCTGGATTAAGGAAAAGATCTCAGCCTGGTATCATATTGGGAGCCAGCCAAGGCAGCAGTGTGGGCACTGCTCACACACTGAGAATCTTTCTGTCCCCTCATTATCCCACTCTATAATAAGGATAAGACCGGCTGGACCTTGCTGCCAGATCCCACAGGACAATCTGGCAGACTAATGGTGGTAAAACAGGATATCTACTGACTCCATCTCCTTCCTATACAGGGAGCCAGGTTCTGTTTTGAAGTCCCTGTTGGTGATTCCACCCCAGTGGCCTCTCCTTTAGAGGGGGTCTGCCACGAGACATTTGGACCTTCTGAACACTTACACTTAGGAGAAGGAGATGATATGATTTTGAGAAGCATGCTGAGCCAAGAGGACTTTGGAAGCTGTGCTGTCTGCCAAGACCCATTTCCCGCTCAGAGGTCCTGAGGTGATTGCTCATGACAGTCTATAAAACCTGTGTGAAAATAAGCCTCAACTCATTTTCAAAGCCAGATCTCTTATAGGCACCATAGTTTGAAGTGTTTAGAGCCCACATCTTAGAAATACCTGACAGGCCAGAGACATTACCAGGGACAAGCATACAAGCCCTTGAGGCTCTTGGTTACACTGTGGGTGGGTTTTATTGTTTTGTTTTGTTTTTGTTTTGTTTTGTTTTGTTTTTGTTTAATTTTGTTTCGTTTTGTTTTCCTTCTTTTTGTTCTTTTGGGAGGAAGGAAGACTGCTGCAGTATGTACCTAATGCAAATTTTCTTTGTCAAATAGACTCAGTAGACAGTTTTTGAAAACAATCATTTTGGAGGCTGACCTGGAAGGACGGGAGCATACTTTCTTCAGTGGGAGTTCTTGGTTATTCAGGGAAAGATGCTTTTGGCACAATTATTTCTGTGGATGGTCCTGGCCGTCTCCTCCCTGAGGCTCCTCTTCATGTTGCCAGCTTGAGAGTCTCCACTTCTGTGCCAGTTCATGGAGATCTGGCTCCACACTGGTGCCAGATTTTACAATATTTCTCCTCCTTCCTTCATAAGTTTATCTTCCTGTCAGACCCAGCTGCTTGTGGTCCAAGTCCCTAAGGGACAGAGAGGCTGTGCCATAACCTAGATGGATGATGGAGAAATCCACAGGGCAAGACTCCTCTGGATCCTGGCTCCTTGCTGTATGTGTTGTGGGGGGTAAGTGTCCTCAAGCAATCAGACAGGCCAAAGCTCTGGGAACAAGCTCATATTTGAGATACAATATATAAATTGAGGCAGGCAAAAGAAGTAGAGAAGACTACTAACCTGCATATCTGGCCTTGAGACCACATTTCTTCCTTTTCCTATTTCTTTGAAGGTTCTTCTGGATAATGCTGTAAGAAAAGAGGACATTTATGGAGGACATCATGGTGCAGGTGCTGTGGGGCTCACCCTGCAGATGAATCAGGGCTGGGGCCAGTGATATCTTTTGCATGGCATGGTGCAAGAGAGCTTGGAAGAAATCTTCTGCAGTGATGGCCCATTTATATGCTGTCTGGACATGCCTAGGGCACTGCAGAAAGGACTGAACTGGGACTGCAATTGTGTGTTTGAACAGAAGACATTGACCAGGCTCTGTGGTAATGACATAACAGCATGGGTTGTATGGCTGTAAGGGCATTGTCAGATGGATTTTAACACACAAAGAAACCCTTAAGGTAAATGAGAAAAAAAAAAAAAAAAAAAAAAAAAAAAAAAAAAAAAGACCATCAAGTGAAAGTGATCTTAGGGCAGAAAATGATGCTGACCTGAAAAGCACCATGTAGACTTGAGTGGATATGCTGACTAAGAACCATGTCCTTATTTCGTTAAATTGTCCTTTTGGGGCAGGTTCCACAGCCAAATCCGCTCTCTTGTACAACAAATTCATTATCAGCTTTAACCTCTCCATAGCTCCTTATGCAACTGCTGTGTTGTAAATCAGTCTGAAGCCTGACGTGCTTTGGCTAGCCTCAGCTCGTGGATGGTTCCTACGGATTAATCTGCTGCGAATTTGGGCAGCCTCCAAATAGCCCTGCAATGTAGGCCCAGAGAGAGGGATTTCAGCAAAACGTGACCATCACCCCAACAACCGCTGGGGTCTGTTACACTCAGCCGAATCTGAACAAAGCCAAAATTCTGCCCCATCGGCTCCCAACGGAGCTACGTGCACACAGCCTTTAGGTGGAGTGAGCACGAATAATGACAGACCCTGAAAAAGGAAGAAGAACCAACTGTTACTGTCAGGGTGGGACTTTGGTTAACTCACGTGGTTGACCTTTCAGCTCCACATATGTAACCGTTGTCCTCAGCAAATGGGTTCAGCATGAGCAAGGATTACTTACACGATCAAACATGAAAAAGTGCTCTTGCAAACAGGCTTGAATCTGAAAAAAAAGCACACTTGGATATAGAGGGGGCATTGGGAAATCACGTTCTGGCAACTGCACAAAGTGTGTGCATTTCCCATAGAATTGAACAAAAATAGATCGTGTCGAAAACAACGATAAAAAACTCATGGGAATGCATGTCTGGCACTGTTTGTATTCCACTCCTGGGGCTAAAGCTGGAGTATTGAAAGGGTGGTGCAATTATGAATTTTACTTAAAAATGTAAATATTTCTGTTTCTTATAAAAGTATCAAAAATAATCCCATCCCTTTTTTTGATGATCCATAAGTCTACACTGAATAGCAAGTTTTAACTTACTGCAAGTCAACTAAGCTAAAATACCTACATTTGTAGAGTGATTAATATGATGGGGTCTCTAGGTTCTGCCAAAATAGAAATAGTATTGTCATATACAGGCATCTATGTATGTATATGCCTGTATTTTTTCATATGTGCACATGCATACACTCATATGACAGAGACATAGAGAAAGGCAGTCCTTTTGTTCCAGGATCTGTAAAGGTCATTACATTTGGATTATTTTTTAATCAAATACACATTTACCAGTTCTTATAAACAAACCATCCTGAGACAAACTGGAGACTTGGCACTCCAGTGCACAGCTCTAAGTGTCCACATTTGTCCTTTAAGATGTGCTGTTTTGAATTAAGGTTTTTCTCTCAAATGTGGTATTTCCAACTGCATGCCTTCCTTCACAGACTCAGAAGTACCTGAACTTCTGTGGTCTGATGTCCACTAATGCCCGATAGCATGTCTGTCATACAGCCTTGTGTGTCCACCTACCCAATTCAAGCTCAGTGTAGATGTGTAGAGACACATAAATGGAGAAAGAAACACATCCTTGCTGGGGGAAGAACGAAACCATTCTTAGTTTTCACAGGATGAATGCTTTCAGGAATATTGCCACTGCATTAAGGTTCAAAATCAGGAAAACAATTCAGCTGGTGTTTATATGTCCTGTTGCACTGATACTTACGCAGATGCTTTATTCTTCCTGCCAAGAATAAATACTAAATTATTCAAGAAAATAATAAATAGCAATTAAATCTATCAGGAAAAAAAAAATATTAAAACAAATACAAACAAACAAAAACACACACCCCAAAAAACAAAACCCACATTTAATGCTTACTAAAAAGGTTGCCTCTTCCCTAGAGGACAACATCACTTAGAATCACAGACTGCATCTCTGAATCCCTCCTTTCAGAAGTTAGGTCCCAATAAATGTATAATAGACTTTTTTTTTGGAGGAAATCTGGCAGTTATTGAGCAATGCAAAGCATGGAATTGTAGGGTTCTTTCTTTTTCCATCCAACAACCATTTCTACTCCTTTGGACCTTGTTTTTACCACACAGCAGATGATCTGAAGATTTCAGAGCTAAACTCGGTGCAAGTAAAAGGAGAAAAAGCTTTGTAGCAAGAAGGTTCATTTTTTTCACAAATCATTAGATTCCCCAGCTCCCTCAAGGAAAGTGAAAAGCAAAATTACCCATTCAGTACAGCTCTTTTGGATTTAAAAAATACCAAAGCATCCATAGTGGTGACTGTAGGTTTTTAAAATTATATTCATACCATGAATTTCTATTACTTCATCTTTCATAAGAGCTAAGAAATACTGCACCATTTTAGGATATTTGTGTTTCATTTCACCTCAGAGACATCAATAATTTGCTGTGTGGTACAGCAGCTCCTGTGTCATATCTTGTATCAATTACTGCACCATTTTTATTTGCATTATGAGTGGAAGAGCTTTTTACACTGAATTTTTAAAACTACAGACATAATCTTCACTGAATTATTGGTTACTTCAAGTATTCCTCTAGAGACAGTAAACAGATTTACTTTCCAAGAGAAGATGTTGAACCATTTCTGATAAATGAGACCCGTACTATTCTTTACCTTAAAGGGGCTAGAAGGAACCACTAGACTATCTAAACTGTGTTCATATGTTCAAAATAGCCTTCGTCACTCAGATCATCTTGTATAAGCCTCTTCTACTGAGCAGAAGAGCATTTTTCTGGATAAAGTCTGTTATC